CACTCGTACGCACAACTTAAGAACAAATCTGTGCGTACGAACGGTTCTTGCATGAGGCCCATTCCTCTTTGACATCACTTCCTGTTGATTCACATGCAAATATCTCAACAACTGTCCATTTGAGCATCCTGACATTCGTTTCATATGTTAATAATGTTGTATTTCCAAAAATGTATTCACATTTCTTACAAAAAACTTGATGTCACAGGCACTTTAAGGTTTCATCCACAGCAAATTAAGGTTGAGACCCCACTGTGGGTCCTAAAACCTCAAATTTTGGGTCGTTAGAGAATTTCCAGGAATTAAATTAAGTTTAAAACTGACTGCTAAGAATGCTTTTGCTATAGTTGACAAAAAAGTAGTTCGATATGGTTAAAACAATTGGTTTATTAGGAATATTTGAATACTTCAACCAAAAATACTTTGATTCATGAGTTTCTGCCAGTTTTTATTTTATTTTTTTGTCCTTTGTGTTTATTGTGAAATTGGTCTTAAATTTAATTTAATTTGGCCTTAAAAAGTCTTAAATTTAACTTGCTTTAAACTGTAGGAACCCTGGTTTTTGTCCACCTGACAGGTGTACTGTGCTAAAATGTGTCTGTTTAGATTAAAATGCAGCAGATGGTGCTAGAGTTGCAGCTGACCCCTTTATTGGTGCTTCTGAGGAGTACGTTGGAGCAGTTACAGGAAAGAGACACAAACAACTTTTTCACTGAGCCTGTACCTTTAGAAGAGGTAAGTGCACACGGTTGCATTTATGTTGAACTTTATTTAAATTGATGGTTTATTTTGTCTAAATGATCTTAGAGGGCTCCAAAGTGCCGACAGATGAAAATGTTGTCCAACACGCTGGCTGAGTGTCTCCGTCTCCCTCCCAGGTCCCGGACTACCTGGAGCACATCGACACTCCGATGGACTTCCAGACCATGTGGAACCTGCTGGAGTCTCACCGCTACCTCACTTTTGAGGCCTTCGAGGCCGACTTCGGTCTCATCGTCAACAACTGCCTGAAGTACAACGCCAAGGACACTGTGTTTTACCGTGCTGCCCTGCGGCTCAGAGAGATGGGCGGGGCGGTCCTCAGGGTGGCGCGGCGCCAGGCCGAACGGATCGGCTTCGACTATGAGACCGGCATGCACCTCCATCGCGAGTCCAGCCCCGAAAGCCAGCGTGAGCAGGAGAGAGAGAGGGAGCGGGAGAGGGAACAAGACCGGGACAGGGAACGAGACCGGCCGTCGTCCTCGAACGAAGATGGTAATGTTTACAATCTGATACTTGAAAGTAGGGTGCACCGATGCTTAATGCTAGCCTGTTGTTTACTTAAATAATCCAGCTTATTTCTCTCAAATCCATTAGATTTACCTTTAAAGAATTTGAGGACTACATATTATTAAGAATTAGAAAAAAAAAGCCTAAATAGTTCAGTTGTACTAGTTTTTAGGAAAATCAGTATAAACTAAATACAGTATTTTTCTTGTTTAAATGAATATGATCTTTTCATTTGTCCTGATGTGTAAAATTAATAATAAATAATAAAGTTCAAAATATATTTCTTAGTTTTATGTCACCTCCACTGGCCGTGAAGATTCCCGTAAAGGCCCATGGACCACCAGTTGATAATCACAGTTGTAGCTTGTTTTGCAGCTCTGGACACATTTTATTAGTGAGCCAAGTAGCAGAAATGGCTTTTTTTTTTTTGATAGTAAAGGTTGCAGACCCCTGCCCTAATGTATACAACGTAGTTAATATGAACCATACAACATACCTCCATGCTTCGGCTGCTCCCTTCTTCAGGGATTGTCACAGCGAAACTGCAGCCTCAGAAGACTGTGGCACTGACCACATATGATAGATGATATGACATACATGCATCAGTGTTTTCCTTTAACCTGAATCATTAATCATTTAATCGAGACATCATTGTGGATTGATGGATTGTTACACTCCTAGTTGTTTCCCGCCTCTTCAGCTGGTCTGACTCTGCAGAAGCTTGTTAATCACTCATTCTTAGAAAGCATGTGTGTCAAAGCAGGGAAACATCTAAAACATGCAGGATAGTGTTCCTCGAGGACCAGGGTAGGACCCACTGCAGCGCGTTATGATCACACCATCTTGTTAAATTAAATAAAATATAGGCTTTGCAAAAAAAATAAACCTTCTTGATTGACTTGACATGTTTTGAGTTAGTCGTTTAAGCTATACATACATTTCTTCAAGAAATACTGGGCTTTTAATTCGTAGTGAAGTTGCATATGGTCAGCAGGTAGCGTACTTTCAAAGTTTAGATAAGTATAATGAGTAGTCTGAAAATCAACGGACAGTGTATTTCATGGACAAAGTCAACATAATGTCCTTATTTACTGTTCAGTCTCCCTCAAAGCTTTTATTTGAACTCATTAACCTTCAGTGTCTTTGTTTCTGCGTTACTGAATACCCACAGAGGCGTGTACACCCATGCAGGTGGGCGGCAACATACTTTCAGACCAGTTGAAACCTTTTGGATCAATCAAAAAAAGACAATTGAGCACTAAAGGAAACCATTTCACTTCACACCGTTCAGTTTTTTCTTTTCTTTTTTTCACAGTTTTCATGCTTTTTTAAACGTCTGTGTGTGTTTAACATGTTGCCCCCCCCCCCCGCCTGTCACAGACCTGCTCTTGCCAGAGAACAGGCGGCGGCTGCCTCTGGACGAGCAGCTGCATTACCTGCAGGCACGCCTGGACGAGGTGAACTCGGGGAAGCCCAGCATCGGTCAATCTCGCAGAGCCAAAGCCCTGAGGAAGGAGATCAGCGTGATCAGGAGGAAGCTCGCCCACCAGCGGGACGGAGGCTCCATCATCGGGGGCCGGGATTCTGCGGGAGAACGGGGCTCTTCTCTCCCGCATCACTCCTCATCCACAGGACACCACGATGAGGGCGGCGAGAGCAGCAGCCAGGAGATCGGTGGGAAAGGTGCGTCTTTACGAAGCACATCGACATCATTAATGTTGTACATCACAGTAACACATCTGTTTAGGTCTAAAATTATAACCACTTTAGTTTCAGAGGTGGGCCGTCGGACGTCTGTCCTTTTCTCAAAGAAGAACCCGAAGATGGCCGGTCCTCCCAAAAGGCCGGGACGCCCACCTAAGAATCGAGATGCTGGCTACGCTGGGGCAGGGGTGAGCCAAAGCCCCATTGGTCCCCCGCAGCTGCCCCTGCTGTCACCAAGCAGGCAGAGGAAGAGGCCCCGCAGCCCCCACACCAGCTCCAGCTCTGACAGCGACAGCGACAACGACCTGCTGCCAGGTTTGATAAACCACTAAATAATAATGCGCTATTAATACCAGTAATGTACAGTTTGAGTCACACAGTGACGCACGTTTTCTTCCCTCTGCCGCCCTCAGGTTTACCAAGCAACGGTTTTGGTACAGGAAACCAGCCTGTAACCGAAAGCTTCCGGGTGTACAGAAACGAGCCCCGTCTGCCTCGCTCGAGCTCAGACTCCGAGTCCACGACCAGCAGCAGCAGCAGCGCAGCTTCAGACAGAACCAGGTGACTACTGCACACTGCTGCTCCTCTTAAAACAACCTGTAGGTCTTATGTTTTCTGCCACCACACAAAGTGAAAGTTGTCTGCAGTAGCAAAGCCACAGACCCAACAGTTAAATCTAGAGGTTGACAGATGAGGGTTTTTCATCTGAACCATGACGAGCTTTAGGAATGAGTGTGGCTGACGTCAAATTTATGAAGTGCATTTATTTGTTTGTTTGTTTTTTCTTTTGGTATTAGTCAATGGAGATGACCATTCACTAATTTTATACAAATTAAAAATGGGTTTGTGATCCCTTTAAAGCCAATTAAATACATTTATCTTTAAGAAGATATTAGGGCTGGGTGAGTACCAAGCGTCTTGAGGAACAGGTGGGGTGACCTCTGAACTACAGAAGCCCCAAGAGTGCACTGGTGGGGAGAAAAAAATCCTCATTTTCCCAAAATTAAATCTTTATAAATGGCAAATTCGAATTAATCGATTAAATTGATTTATTGCCCAACCCTAGAAGATCTTTTTTTTAAACCTTTTTGGCAAACAGTTTTACAAGCCAAATATGGTTTAATAATTAAACTATTCAGTCAGTTAGGAACACCCCTACTTAAAATAAGAAAAACTTTCATTTTGTTTCATTTATTTATTTAAAAGGACAGTGCACATTAATCAGTGTTCTGTGAATATAAATTAGCACAACATCTAAAATTCATCCATTGTCCTGAGCAGATAAGAAGTAACAGTTTATAAAACAAGTGCACAAAACAGACAAAGTTTAACACTGTCCAACAAACACACAAACACCTCTACTGTAAACTGTAGTATTATGACACTATGTACTGGTTATTTGACATGACAGTATAATGATGGCTCATCAAAACCCTAAACAAGCTTTAATGAATAAAGCAAACACAGCTGTGAAGCGACTCACAGTTCAGGTACGACAGGAAAAAAGAAAATACTAAATGATAAAGTTATTATTATTTTTTTTGTGTTTGCTTTTGTTAAAACAGGAACTCTTCTAGAACCAGAGACAGAAAAACAAACCACGCTCTTTAGTGGGCAGGCTTAAATGTACTGACATTTTAGTTATGTACAATACACACTCATGTGCACACCGTGTGCATGTCGTACTGATAAGATCTGTAACTGGGCTCACGTCCAACAGCTCAGATCAAAACATCTCTGTTTTTTTTTCCTTCTGACGTATTGTAAATGTAGGTTTGTAGTTTGATTTCACCAAAGGAAAAAAGATGTAGGACACATGAGTAGACACTGCCATGTGAAGCACATCAAAACCAGTTCTCCTCTCACTCAGATCCGTACACATTCCTACCTGTGCTACAGTTTAGTAAAAACTCCAATTGAATGTTGTTTCAAGCATAAATCTATAATTTTTTTCTCTCCACAAAAGTAATATTTCTCATTTAACTAATTAAATGTGCAAGGCTCTGAAAGACAAAAGTATTTTTTCCTTTTAAACTAACAATATTCTTTATTCCACTCAGCCTCTCTTATTGTCCAGTGTTGCCAACAACAGTACTTTACTTGAAAGCTACCTAAAAGGGTGTAGCTTTAGGTAAAACACTAGCTGCCCACAGCCCGTTGTTTAATTGGTTTAAAAACATCAGACATACACAATGTAGAAATTTCAAAATATGGCAAAAAATCGTCCCATTTCATTGTTTGACCTCAAATTAAATCTGCTGAGATTTTGCCTTCAAATGCTGGGCTCTAATTGAGTCTCATAATTTAAAACAAACAGAATGGCTTATTTGTTTTTACTACGTTCTCATGTTCTTATTTTAAGTTTTTTTTTTCTCTTTCTCAGCACAACGCCTTCCAAGCAGGGCAGAGGAAAGGCTTCGTTCTCTCGCTCCACCTTCCATGAAGACAGCAGCGAGGAAACGTCAGGCACAGAAAATGACTCCTACTCTGTCGGAGGATCGCGGAGTGTTTCACACTGTAAGCACATTCTCACACTCTGAAAGCGTCACGGTGCGACTCGTCTTTCTGTTTGTGCAGAGACGTGTTATCATGTGTGGATTTTGGTGCCGTCTTCATGCTCAGAATCCTTTGTTTGTCTTCCAAATCGCCTGGAGCAAAATGAATCAACTTACTTTAATAGTTGTTTTGTGCTTAGATTCCTTCTTGCCCTTTTTTTTTTTCGTGTGGAAAAAACTTTGTTGCTCAGTGAGCGTAATTTTCTGTTAAAACATAAGTTTTAAAGAAAGCAATATGGAAATTCAACAAAATATAACAGCCTCTTCTGCACAAACTTCACCTTTCGACCAGAGCTTGTGAAACCCAACTTTGTTTTTATTTATTAATTTTTTTCCATAATATGTCAGACAGGATATGGAGGACATAAAATCTAAATCACATCTAAATCAGTCATTTCTCTGGGTGTTTTAAAAAACTTTAAAACTTAACCTGAAAATTTTAGCATTTAAAACAGAAAGAATAAGAAAAAGAAAGTAAGACGTCTTTGTTGGACTGAGGTGTGACGGCTCTTCTGAGGTTCTGAGCTGTTTTTTTTGACACTTCCTAACATAATTAGAGAATTTGCCTTGCCCGTGGAAAATGCAGTGTGAATGCTTAATGCTGACAGTTTTGCAGAAAGCTGCTGAAGAAGCTGAAAAGGTGTAGTAGCAAAACTGTAAACGTGAGTTAAATTTAAGCAGCTGACTTTTGCTAAAAGTAGGAAAATCAGTTGAAAGATAGCAAAAATGTGTCAAAAAACTGAAGAAAGCAGAAATGTAACAAAAATGAGCAGAAAATAGTAAATGTTTGTTTTAAAAAAGAAGCTTAAAGAGCAGAAAAAGTTGAAACTACCAAAAATATAAAAAATAAAGCTAAAATTTAGACAAAAGAAGGTTAAACAAGCATTAAAATGACTGTGTGACATTTACTTTATATTTTGTGGCTTTGAAATTAATACGGGTATCATTGAAAGAGCACGTTTGCTGAATTAAGCAATAAGAAGCAGAAAATATTGTAAAAAGTGTATTTAGCTGAAAAACCTAAAAGTAGCTTAAAATGCTGTAATTGACAGAAAGAAACTGAAGGAGCAGTTGCTGAATGAAGCTGCAAAAAGCTGAAATGTCCATGTAAATTTAGCTGAATAAAGCTCAAAAACAGCTAAAGAATAGCTGAAAAGGCAGAAAAAACTGAAAACAGCACAATGAAACTGAAAGGAGCATAAAAAGCTGAAATTAACAAGTAAAAAAAAGCATCAGAGAAGTTGAAAGGAGTTAAAACAGCAGAAAATGCTGAAAACAGCTTAAAAAAAGGCAGAAGAAAGTTGAAATGAGCACATTTAAAAAGCTCAATCTGGATAAAAAGTGCAGTAAAGATTTCTGAACATTTTTTGAAGGATTGTAAGGATTCTGAAGACAGCGCCATTCATTTTCAATGAGAACCAAACTGTCCGAAAAGGCGAAATGTCTTAAAAAGCTGAAATTGCTGCTGCAGCTGACTTGTCTTCCCTGCTGTCAGTGGTGCGTGGCCGGGACAGGTCGGGATGCTGGATGACATCAGACGATTATTCCTCCCTGGAGGCTCTGGACCTGGTGTGGGCCAAGTGCAGAGGTTACCCTTCGTACCCTGCCCTGGTGAGACGCACGTGCTCTGTGTGCTAAATGTTCAAAACGCAGTCATGTGAGCCTGAGCTTTGGGTTTTTGGTGAGTCTAATCCTCCTGCCGCTGCTCGTCTGCAGATCATTGACCCAAAGATGCCCAGGGAGGGGGTGTTCCACCGCGGCGTCCCCATCCCGGTTCCTCCCTTGGATGTGCTGAAACTTGGAGAGCAAATGACCCAGGAGGCCAGGGAGCACCTGTTCCTCGTCCTCTTCTTTGACAACAAGAGAACTTGGTCAGTGCTTTGAGATGTTTTTTAAATCACTTCTTTAAATCATTAAGACCCGATGCAGCATGTGCAAATATCACATCCCGTGGTTGAAAGGGTTAAAGATTATTGTTGTTAATTCTTGCTGATATCTAACACTTTTCCTCTGACGCTATAAAGCTATATGTGCAGAAAATTCAAATATGCAAGCAAACTGTGCTTTTTTTTTATCTGAGTGGATGCAGCCACGTATAACACATTTGCAGCGGAACTTTAAAGCGGACTGCAGCATTTGCACAGAAGCACGAGATGACAGACAGTTCAGAAGAAATAGGCCAAACGTGGTTTTTGAGAACTGAAGAGTGGGGGGAAAAACACAAGGTGTTTTAGGTCATTGTGTACTTTGCATGTAATTAACTGAAGAAGTAAAAAAACAAATGTGACAAATAAGATGACAGCAGCTTTTTTTTAATCATTCTTGGTATTATGTTTTTTTTTTTCTTTTTATACCGTAGATCATCAAAAGTTTGACAGCTTTCAGGTCACACCTTGTTATGAGCCAGGAAGTCAAGGTGGTGTCCTTAACAATGAATCTCCTTGTTTTCACATAAGGCTTAAACAGGTTATTGAATCACGCACCTTCTAATTCTGGGTGTCTTATTTCCTCAGCTGCGTTTCCAGGTAATGTAAAATGTGTAATAACAGCTGATGTGTGTGTGTGTGTTTGTGTTCATGCAGGCAGTGGCTGCCCCGCTCTAAGCTGGTGCCGCTCGGCGTGGACCAGGAGCTGGACAAGGAGAAGATGCTGGAGGGCAGGAAGTCCAACATTCGTAAATCCGTGTCCGTGGCCTACCACCGTGCCATGCAGCATCGCAGCAAAGTCCAGGGGGACCCGAGCAGCGAAACCAGCGACAGTGACTGAGTACAGGCAACAAGAATACGTGCCGGGGCCTCGCAAAAGTTGTCAAATGGACACAACCGCATAGAGCCCAGCTCCACATCGTAAACGGCAATACAACGGTGCATAAAGCAAAAAGTGTGTAGGGACGTCCTGCCACTTTGGTCCCACGACACACACCTTCATGCGCACTAAGCTATATTTAATTTGACATGTAAAAAAATAATGTATTTAAGAGAATTGAAGAGAAAAATTATTACTAACGATGGCGGAAAATTATGTTCCGAATCATAAATCAAAAATATTTTATGTGGTCTATTATGTTTAAAACTAAATAAGTTTACAAAGTTAAAAAGTTTGATCAGTATAAGGAGACGCAAAGTCTTCCTAACCACATCTTTTTTTTCTCACACGTACAACCACACTGTTATCTTCCATCTCAGCTGAGAAATGCATGTGTTACGTGTACAGTAACTGCACACCCAATGTGGGGCAAGGCTGCAGAGCCACCAGAACGTATTTCCATCAATCATTTACCACTCCAAGGAAAGAAGATAAGAAGAAAAAACTGTTGTTTGTTGAAGAAGCAGAAAGAGGCAACATGAGCAAATTATGTTACTGTAATTTATTCCTTTTTGTTAACAGCATTTCATCATGGAATACTTCAGATCACTCCAGGTGCACAAGATATGTGCCGTGTAGTTTTCTTTTTTTAACGATTTTGTTATCAAATGTACCTGTCACTCTGACCAGTGGTCAATCAATAATGAGGACTGAGAAGAAACACGATATTCTCATTGTCTGTTTTAGTCTCAGTGACGGCTGTAGATCTTTTGTATACACAGATTGCATAAAAAAATACAATTTTAATAAAAAAAAAGAAAAGAAAAAGAAGTATGAGGGTTGTACTTTGGTCGTTTTCTGTCTAAATTTGAGTTTCCTGCTTTCATACTGGAAACTGTTGCGTGACTTTTTTATTTATTTATTTTTTGTCTGTGTGTTTTCTAGAGAAAACTCTGACATCATCCCATTTCATTACCTTTTTACATGGAGGAATGAGTCATTAGGTCTGTTTTGCTTTTTTCAAATGTGCATTACCAACACAAGACATGACCAGTCAAGTTTTTAGACAAATTTTAGACAATCTAGACAGTGTTGAACTTCATTTTGTAAAAGTTCACTTTCCTGGTTCATTTTTTTTAGGGTCAAGTACAAGGCATGAAATGTGAGACTCTGGGAGATAAGTAATACAATCCTTAACATGCATGCCTTCATTTTATGCATTAACAGCTTCAAACAAACTCGTACTATGTTGTTTATAGCTTTGTCTCTTTAGAGGACAACTAAGAGTTTTATAATCTTTGTGGGAAAACAAGAAAGATACAGTCATTTATTTAATATTTATGCAAAGCAGAGACTAGCTGCCTTCTGGCGCTACTCGTCTAACAGCTTCAACAAAAGATATACGGTTCACTGTACATGTGCCACTGCCCTGTTTAGGGAGAGGCAGATACGCATTATGCAAAAAGTGAATGTGTTGGAATGTGGCACCGAAAAATTGACAGCGAGTCGCTCACTTTGGATTTTTTTTTTTTAAACGGAATGTGTTGCACTGGACTCAAGCATTCTGTGATTTTAGTTGTTGCAAATTTTTATTTATGCACATGTACCCATCATTAGAGGTAGTACTTGGTGTCATGGGGGGGGGGGGGGGGTTCAGGTCTTTCAACATCAGACCCCCTCTTCCAGGTGACCCAACCAGGAGAGCAGCATATGTTTCTGGTTCTTATGGTCACCAGTACCAATGTGCCTACATTCCCTGGTATATACTGTATGTTCTCTAGTATATACTGTATGTTTCCTGGTACTTATGTTTCCCAGTACCTATGATTTCTGGTCCCAATGTTCCCCAATACTCCCAGTACATATGATTTCGGTTATTCATGTTTCCTGGTACTTATGCTTCCCAATACTTGTTTTCCCAGTAGCTACATATGATCTCAGGTACCTATGTTACCCAGCACCTATGTTTTTGGGTACCTATGTTTTCCAGTACCCATATTTTTCAGGTATCTGTGTTCCTCGGGTACCTATGCTTTTGGGTACGATGTTTCCTGGTACCATTGCTTTCTGTTACCTATATTCCCTGGTATCTTCGTTCGCTGGTACATAAGTAACCCTGGAACCTATGGTTCCCTGTAAATATGTTTTCCCAGTTCCTATGTTCTCCTGGGGTTAATAGTGAATGAAAAATTTGCTGAGTACAGGCATAGCACTGGGAGACTTATAGTTACCAAGGAACATGGGTACTGTTTCCCAGAACCTGTTCCCCAGTACAATGCAGAATAATACAACATTTTTAAAAAGACATTTGAAGGAAGAGCCAAGCATCTTTCACAACTTTTATTGTTAGCCTAGGGCAGTGATTCCCAACCAGGGGTACGTGTACCCCTGGGGTATGTGAGCCTATTACAGGGGTGTACGTGGAAAAATTTCCCAGGTGTATAAAAGATAAATAAAAATAGAACTGAGATACAGTATGTAGGGACCTATGATTTCTGCAATGCGGAAATCATGGATTTGACACGAAATGGAAAACAGTATAAAATGCATAATCTCATGGAATTTGCTCATTTAGGCGAGTTTCTGATGTATTTTTGGATGCTGCTGCATCCTGCACCTGCCGCTACCTGGTTTATTTATTTAATTACTTATTCACTTTCAAGGCAATGTTTTAATCTTCTATCTTTCTTTGAAAAGAATAAAATGCCTGAGAACTAAATGTCCTAGGGTGTAAAATAAATTTATTTTAATAATCAGCTGTTGTACATTATAGTTTTGGAGAATCATCATTATGTTTGACAGAGGGGGTACTAGGGGTATGACAAGACGGCTCAGTGGGTACACAAGTCTTAAAAGGTTGGGAACCACTGGCCTAGGAGGTGCTGGGAAACATACCGTAGTTACTGGGGAACAAAGGGATGGCCCCACCAGGGGTGATTAATTCCCAGAAGCTGACTGTCCCTCATGATTCACAACCATCTTTGAGTCCTACTCTGCAGCTTGTTGCTCTGTTGATCTTTTATATTCGTCCTGTAATGCCCAGGAGGCTGTAGGCCCTGCGTAGAGTACTTCCTGCAAAGCCCCTGCTCCCCACTTCCATCACCACCTCTTCCAACAGCTTTGTGTGTTTTCCCCTCTTTTTTGTTATCCTCGTCCATCATCCCCTCCCAGAGCACCATTAACTCTAGCATAACCACTAAAACAATGCATTAATTGGTCTGAGTCCGATTTTGGTGATGTTCAAATCAGAGTCATTTAGGTCCACCCTCATATGCCAGACATGTACTGCTTCTAGGAAGTCCTTTAATTGGCAATTATACCGTTCTCTGCCTCAAACAAATGGGTTAGCTATATGTCCACGGTCAGGTTCATAATTGTACATAAAGAAACAAACTTTTATCTGTGGGGTGACTTCATATTTACATAGCGGTTGTCATGACAAGCATCTGTCATGTAAATGCACCATACCCTAAATCAAGACTTTATTTTTATCTCGTTTTCCGCAAAACGTTAAATATCCCCCACCCAGCAGGTGCTCCCACACGCCACAATCTGTCTTTAGATCTGCTACTGAGATTCCCCTCCTCCCCATATAAGCAAAGCCATTTCATTTCTCTTTGCGACACGCAGACGGCGTGTGGAAACAACTGATAACGTTTGTGTGGTTTCTGCTGAACGCACAGGGTGACTGAGCTGCACTGAAGACACCCGATATGGTTTTTTTTATCTTCCCGCCACGTCCTGTTTTAAACTACAGCTCAAACTGTTGACTGCAACACACAAGGATATAAGGCGTTTTAGCTGTGAATTTTGTTTTTTAGTTAAGCAAATGACCTACAAGTCAAATTATTGAAGATTGAATCGCCATATCTTTAGGTTTTATTTTTTATGCAAGGAGGTAGTTTCCTTAAAACAGTTTTTATTACTATCTGTACACTGTATCAGTATCTTCAATAACATCCGCCTTCAATTTCAGGCTTTCACAAGAAAACAAGAACAGAGCATTTGACCTTTATCATCACTATCTGTGGGCTTTCAGAAGAAACCTTGTATTTATTTTTAGATATTGGCATAATTAGGTAATCTGAGTTTACTAACATCCAGTGAGCAAAGCCTGACTGCTAATGTTGATCATTCGGATCTCAGACAAGCAAACTCGACTGAATTGATCATTTTAGTTTAGCGTTTTATAATTTTAAATGATCCTCACCAGAAAAAAAAAACCTTATCGTGATAAAAAAATAAAATATTGTCACTCATGAATAAAAACCTAACCTGATACAACGACAGAAGTCTTGTCTTTGTGTGTGGTTTGTAGTGTCAAACTATCTCATGAACCACTAGATGGATTTTAAAGGGGCAATATCGTGTAAAATCAACTTTTTTTGAGTTTTATATCATGTTTTAATGTTATATTCTCATAAAAAAAACATGCCCAAAGCCTTGCTCTGACTCATTCATGCATGTTTGAGAAATCCTGCAGCGTTTTTTAGGAAGCCATGCTGAGGAGCAAAACGACAGGTGGGGACCAGAAACGCCCCTGGGACGTGTCTTTAAGCCGAACTTCCTCATGGCAGAGTGCACCCACCCCACGCACCCCGCCCATGACTGCAGGCTCTCGGGTCAAAGTGAAAGTGAAACCTAACTGTCTGTTGAGCTCTCAACATTAGTTCTCACTCAGTGAAGCTCTTTTCAGATTAAAAAAATACCTTTGAGGAAATGTATTTTCAGATGCCAAGTAAACTGCATCATGGTAGCCCCTCCCCCCCGAGAGCGCGACCCTCCCCCCGTACCGAAATGGGCAAAACAGAAGCGGAAGGAGGTTCTTAAAGCAACCTGAGAGGATTCCAAGGTGTTCCCGGTCTAGAGACATCTCCTGTATCCTCCCTGGGGTCTAGACAAGCCCATATATCTTCCTATGGAGGCATTTCTCACTAGATGCCGGCTCCTCTTGATGTGGACGAGCAGCAGCTCTACTCTGAGTCCAGCTACCCTAGAGAAAAGGTTTTTGGACCACCTACAACCAAAATCCCATTCTTTGGTCACTATAAGAGCTGGTGATCATAGGGTGAGGGTAAGAATACACACACACACACACACACACACACACACACACACACACAC